AAGACTCGTACAGGCCTAGATCTTCTCACGAAGTAACTTCAGTTTCACTGAGGGATTACAAAAATGTACGTCCCGTGCAGGCCTGGACACGCAATGCCGCTTCTTACTATCGCATGGCAATCTCACAGTCCCTACTTTTCAGACCGAGTCTGGTGCTTGAACGTCAACTGAAAGCTAGCTTTGGTAATTTAAGGGCGAATATGAGATCAAACAAGGTTCAAGCTTTAAACATTTACGGTCTGAACTAATGTCCATTCACCCTGCTAAGCTAACTAACTAACTGTTATTGAAGTGGAATCATTTTCTGTATAGCTCTTGGGAACCGTAAATGATTGATGTGTATTAAAGTAAAACCTAAACGACAGATGCCCCCTCGCCTCCTCTATTTACATGAACGAGAAACAATATACACAATGACAGCAAATGTATAACAGCTTCGGTAGTGAGCGAAGGTACGTTAATTAGCAGAGCAGTGTCAGATCTCATGCAAAGCCCGCCCTCTTGACCATTTAATTAACATTGTTGACATGACTTCTGCAGTGAGGGCTCTACAACCTACTCATCTCTGTTGCCATCTTATAAAGCATGCACTTAACATTTAAACACGAGGGCGAAAAAAGTTGCAAAGAATAATGGTTGACCAGTTCAAGCCGTAGCAAAACAGGCATCTGCCCATATTATTTCCTGCGACGTGACGCAAATCTTCCAGCTCTTCCGCAGACAGATTAAGTCTGCCCGGTTTCTCCCATTTTTCAATTAAATTTTGACCTCATTATTTGCATTTTTTTGGTAAAGGAAAACCGCAGTTCCATCCTCCACTGAGTCGGTGACCGTGTAACCCCCCTCGGCTGATGAAGGTTGTTGATAGTTATTGCAAGTGACAAGTTACTAATGGGACTTTAGGGTTTTGGGCTCTTATTTGTGTTCCGAGCCTGTTGCAGTTGGCGGGTGCCTGTTGATTTGCTGCCCTGGAAATTAGTCATGAAGCCCGGGCGAAACAAGGGGGACGCTCGGGGTCAGAGACGGGCACCCGTGCTGCACGGTGGTCATTAAAATCACTTATCGGTATGCTGATAAACTCCACGATAGTACGCAGTAAATTTTAAATTGGACTTTCAAATAACAATAACCAAATCAACAAATCACGTTTTAGCACCTAGAACGATAGGATCCCTGCTTCGTGATTCAACATGTTGAATGGACAGAATTTTAAGTTTAAATAGAGTTTAAAACGCACTGCCCCTGTGGCATTTCCCAGAATTTCAATAACTTTGTAACTTCTCTTGCCGTCCAGAATCTCGACCCACTTTTTAAATTGAAGTAATGTAAACCGAAAAACACCGAGATTCCTCTGCGGTTCTGCATCATGTTTTCATATCAGAACAAAAATTGTTGTTTGTTCTTGAAATTCCCCAGGGAAGATCGGTTATTAGCCATCGAATTTCTCAAGGGCGAACTTAAAACGAATTACACCCCAAGGGCTGCACATTAGGGAAACTCGTTTGGACTTCATAGAAGTTTTTTTTCGGAAGGAACAAATCGAAATCGAGATGGAAATATTTTCATTGCCGCTTCGGACTGGGCAACAACTGGTCCAGTCCGGAATCAGCATAAATCCTGCATGACCGACAGGTCGGTAACCTCAGGCAGTCAACAAACAAATAGGTTTCCTTTTCAGATATGAAAACAGCCCTCTTATGTTTTAAAGGGTGAATGAAATGGAGTTTTTATTACTACAGTCCTTGTGAATGTACCTTTATCCTTCATATCCGTATTCCTGAGAAAAATCGTAAAGTCATCCGAGGAAAAACCTTCCGGCGAAGTTTGATGGTTTAAACAACTGTGGGCAAAATGTTGACGTGTTCGGCTACAATTCCTCGTTTATTTCTTGAAAATGTGTCGCCACTGGACATCTGATGCTCCAAAATCACTTTTGATCGTTATTTTTATTTTTTGATATAAAAAAGAGCCATAAACAAGGGACCTGGAGTTAGGCCTGTGCCCGGTACCTGTTGGTTAATATCAAAACCCGCTTCCGTTTTTTTCGGGCCAGGTATCCGTAAAAAGAAAAAAAAAAGAAAAAAAGTAAATAAATTAAAAACAAACATCCATGTATAAAATGTCTGTGAAATTTCATACTGAAGGGCAGACTTGCTGAAAAATCACAATGCCGCTGAAAACCCGGTCCCGCGGTCATACATAAAACTTCAGTTCGGAGATCAACAGCTAATTTTGTTCTATATCCACTCCGCCCGTTGTACTGCAGTTGTTTTCCTACTCAATGCCAGTTCCGGATTTTTCCCAGTTCACAAGAGCGAAAAACCACTAAAATTCACGGTCGATAGGTCAGTACTTTGTGTGATTTCAAAATACAAGTACTTTTTTTTTTAGATTGAACAGTCATATAAACTGTTGCATCTAATGTCTGCTAAATCAAAATGACTTTAGAGTTTCTTTTTTTTTTGTTAATTGACCGAAAACTGAAAGCTTTTCCCCTAATTTCGGATCGTGCGTTGTTATCACGCAAATTCGTTTGCAACTACACGGTCGCAGCAGAGATGTATTTGACATAAGGTGTTCGTCAACGGGGAGGTACCGTTGATAGCTCGCTGTATGTACGGTTGAAAAGTCGGGTCAAACTTTACGGAATTTCTACTTTTTAATTCAATGGAATTCTTATTTTTGATCCAATTTTCCAAAAATTAATAAATTCTTTATTAGAAAGGCAACTTTTTGCAAAGGTTGTGGCCGAAAATGGATTTTTCGCATGTTTACCTTTTATTCGTGAAGAAGTTTTGTCTCGATCTGAAACCGATCCAGAACAAGGAAAGGTGTCGTCGTCACTTTCGTCTATCCTGTGAATCAAAATGTATAAGCTTCGATTTTGAAAAAAAAAGAGGTATCTCCAAAACACAAAGTTGACTTCTGACCATATTTCACTTGAATATGATTATTTTTGTAGCTGCAATGTGACTGAATAATTTTTGCGATCTGGAACTAGGAAAATGACTGTACCAAACCTATATGAACAAGAGACTGAAGGAATTTGGTCCCCTGAGGTGGAAGCGCTGTTGATGTACACTTGCATGACTGTATTTGTAAGTTTCAAACCGTGTCGGCCTGAATTACTTTTGTGCGGAAGTGGTACAGTAGTGCTTTCTGTTTGAGTATTTTTGTCAAATCAAACAATATGAATGAAAATTACTTTATGTCGGGATTGACGATAGAGCGAGAGCGGACTGTGTAATATTCCAGCGGTACTGAGACTCCACACATGCAGTAAGTAGTGATCACGCACCAATTGTGCAGTTGATCAGCCTCTTATTGTTAGCTGGTAACCAAAGCACTGAATGTGCTCCATAAGCCCAAAGAGTCAGAGAACCAGTTTATCTTTTGATACCAAGAAATACACCGTAAGCATCATTCAAACTTCAGTTTCAAAATTACTTTTAAATTAAAGCAATATGAATTTCCTCTGTGATTCAGCAGAACTGTGGATGAGGAATTGAACAAAAAGCAGGATGTTTTCTGTATGCACAAAAGCATTTCAAATAGAAGTGTTTCTTACATTCGAAGCAAGGGAAATGTTGACAGGTGTTCCTTTCATTCGAAGCAAGGGAATTGGTAACAGGTCATAATAAAGTCGACCAGTCAGATGTCACTTGTCTAAGTATTTACATTAAAATCTCGACAACTCGAATCTCAGGGGAATGGAGTTATCATAAAGAGAATTATCCATTAAAATAAACCACTTTATCGTGGTACCTTCGTGTGGCCAAACGTGCGTATCGCTTCGTCTTGTTTACAACATTAAGCGCTGCACATAGTCCTATTTTTTTCACTTGGGCTTCCCTATGTGTGGTCACATGATCTTTCCTTTTGCGGTCACATGTCCGCTGCAGTGTCAGCGATTGGACTGCCTGAATGGGACTATAATTGGGCCCGCGTTAGCAATCAGGTTAGTTCAGTAGCTTGAAAGCAAGGATTTGTTGCAGTTTCAGGTAACGTTGGTTTATGCATAGAGCTAGCTCTATGGTTTATGCAACGTGTATACAACTGGTCCCCGTGAGAAAAGAAATGCACTTGGCAATGATAGCTCCTAACCCTATATGGACTTCCGATACTTCCAACGCCGTTTGAAGCATTTTAGTGGCGGTTATTTTGAAAAAAAAAATCAAAAGAAGTGGACATACTGGCGTGGGCATTGTTCGAGTTACGGAGGTAACTTTTGTACATAAAAACCTTTTTAACCCGTGACATACGTAGCACTGACCTGGTCCAGGCGTGACAAGACCAGCGCTCACCATATGTGTACGTGCATTCCGCGTGTACTGGTTATGCAGCACCCGGGACATTTCCTTTGAGCGGTTGCTGGTGCGTAGGTGGTTTGCAGCTCTGTCGTCTGTTCAGATGTTCAATTCTTCGTGAAAATTTTGTTTTTCTGCTTCATGTACCCACAAAAAAGACAATTTGCAAACTGAAAGTAACAATTCCGTTTGATAGAAAAGTAGGAGAGATTAACTCCGACGTTTAGGACAATGTGCTGCTTGGTTCCTGTGTACAAAACCCCGCTTCGGGCACATGGTCCACCGGGGTCGCGCGCAATGCCATTTGTTATTAAGTGAAGTGATCCCTTTTCCGGGTACGCGGGTACCCGATGTTGACAAAAACGGGTACCCGGTTCTAAAAATACCCGGAAATGCCACCCCTACCTGGAGTTGCAAAGCCATTGCAGCGTTTCGCTAAGCGTTTTCCGAGAGGATCTTTCCCAAGCATTTTTTTTGTTAAGCATGTACATCTCTCAGGGGGGATTCTGAATACCTTGTACTTTATTTTCATATACGAACATGTGACGATTTGTCTTGAAGAGTGCGTCTGTTGGACAGTACCGTTAGTGCTTCAGATTGAAGGAGCGCCCTCACAAAAATTATTGTGTTCGAATTAGCATACGAGCTCGGAATAACGGTTTCTGCATTCTATGATTTGCGTCAATCTCTCAGGTATGGTTTCAGAACAGACGCGCCAAATGGCGGAAACGGGAGCGATTCGGCCAGTTCACCAACATGCGAGCCATAGCGACAGGAACTAACTATGAAATGCCGATGGCCCCACGCAACGACAGCTACCCACACCAGGTAAGGGCTAATCCCCTTAAGCATCAACCAAAGACCAAAATGACATTTTCTGTGAACCGTCTTTCCAACTGTGGAACAGTTAAACTCTTCTGGTACCTGAAGCCTGGACCAAGGATACATTCATGCATTACCGAGTAAGACTGACCTAACAAAAAAGGTCAAGAGCTACAACCTCTTCTGAAGTCCTTTGTCTCCCAGTTATTCTTTAGTCGGCGGCGGGCAGAACTGTAAACCACGCGGTGCCAAACCGTTACCTGTACACGCACACGCGTACATACATGTTTAGAACTTGTCACCTCCGATTGATGTTAAGTTAAGTGTGCGTAGCCATTGCAGAGAGGATACGAGAAGGCGCTGCGTCTCTTCAGGTAGAGGTGTCGAAAATGCCACGTCGAGATTACTTATTTATGGCTCGTATATAAAATGGTGAACATACCTACGATAGATGTCTTCATTTTTTGCAATGCCAGTACTAAGATAACGTCCCTGTGTTTAAACAAGACACCGTGTACCGGTATCTTGTTTCTTTCAAGATTATTTCCACTGTTTGGTGATTAATACAAGTGTTTCTATGCACAGAATGCCTTTGAGTGCTAAAACTGTTATAAGTGGGGGTGGATGAGTTGTACCAGATGTTGAAAGTTTCCTGAAATCTTTTCAGCCAAAGTTTTGGCCCATTTTATTGAAGTAATGACCTATTTTGCTTGTGTTTTATTCAAAGGTAACGAACTCGTCTTCGTGGTCACCCAATAATCTTGGCCCCCCACTGTCTCCGAGTCAGCATTCACCGCCGTCGATGGCGGCGCCCTTGCAGAATAGCAATGGTTATTCCCCGCACGCACACCAGAACCCTTCTAGCGGTCACCAGCTCATGAACGGACTGACTTCCTGCATGGCGCCCCAGGGTATGCTGCCCAGCTACATGGGTATGTCCAACTCCAGCCTACCCCAGTACGGGCAAATGCCGCCCTCAACGTCCATGCCCTCGCCTACCACCTCCCAGTCGCATCTCGGGAATGGTATGATGGCGCCATCCACCGGTACATTAATGACGACAGGCGTGGCACCTCTACCCCAAGGTCTTGGGGAGGTTGAAACTGAGCGGCGGAGCAGCAGTATTGCGGCCTTGAGGCTGAAAGCCAAGGAACACAGCGTTGCCATGTCCATGGTTGGAGCTTACTCGTAGAGAACATGTGCCTACATGTACTTGTGTAGCAGACTTCAGAGCTTGTGGAACTTACCGACCACGGCTTGTTTGCTTGTTGAAGTTTAAACAGGCGAAACCTTAGCCCTAACTAGTTTGCGAATGCATGAGCTATGCATCAAGCATTCGAGGAATTATGCATCAACATATCATCATGCACAATTTGTGTAATCTCTAATGTCATCAGAACCAACAACCGCTTGTATTCAAGCATCTCAACGGCTCTCTGTTAAGTCTTAAACAGGTAGACTCCCAAAAGAACCTTTCCGTTGTGTGTGTAAAATCTGTAATCAACACATTTCTGGACACCTTTGAGATTTCTTGTCTGGAAGTGTGTCACTCATAAGTGAAATTTTGCCTTTCGTCTGACATGTGATAACTTTGTTTTGCATAACGCGCGTGATTATGGGCTTGCTGAAGAATTGCCACAGCTGCTTTCTTGCTGAGCCAGAAAACGAAAGCAGCGTTGACTTTGAGAAGGGAGGTGCATTGGACATTGTTTAGTTAGGGGATATTCTGTAGAGTAGATGTTATTAGAAATCATTTGGAAGAACTCAGGGTAAGTATTATGATCATGCAGAGCGGTATATATTAATGCGTAACATTCGACTGCAATTTGACATCGTTATGAGCGACAGTAGATTCAACTTTGGGTCATGACATTGTTGATACTTCAAGAAAATGCCTTTGTAATCGTTTGCAGACAGGTAGTAATGCAATAACTAACCATCATCTTCGTTTTCCGGTGCCTTTCATAACCAAGTGTCATACAAAGATCACTTAGTATATTAGACCTGCTGTATCCTGCGATGATTTTCGAACATTCTGTATCTACATGTATTTTCTCGCCTCTTGTTTGAAATACCGCCCTCTCTGTATCTAAATTCAACTCTTCGGTGATATGTATTCTCTGAAATAAATAACATTATTTTTGACTTTAGTAGTTGAAAGAACTGTTTAGAGACTTTTCATTCACCAAGTTGTTCAATAAAAGAAGAAGAAAACTGCTTAAAGTAATTTTTAACAGATTCGACGAAAATTTAAGACGAAGGTTGATCAGTAAAATCAACAACAGAGGGTGCTAGACATACCCTTTGTCAGAGTTGACTGCCTACTGCTAAATTCGTGATAGAAACGTTCCAAACTTGCCAGAACAACGCTTCCTGAGTTTAGTGTTGTAGATTCATGATGTTTTGAACTCAAAATTTTGAAGCAATATCCTCAACGCTTTGGTATTCTTTATTAAAGTAGATTTGATTTATACTATTATTTGCATATTCATGTGCAAGCACTATTACATTTTAATGTCAAGTATTCTCGATGACTACACATGTGTAGCATCTGCACGCGTTATTCTCTTCCATACGGTGGTGATTGACGAAGTGTAATAAAGAAATTCAAATTACATGCTTTGTTTCTTGTGATTTGTTGCATCGTTCCATTTTTATTTCCATTCCATTTCAATTTTATTTCACTGCCTTGCACGTCATGGTTAAATTTGATGCGATTAGGCTGGGTTTGGTTGGGTTGGGAGGGTACGGTTGAGTATGTATCCTTCAACCACGGACGATGAAAATCACAATCTGCCAATTTATTATTCGAGCATTTACGATCAGAAATAGACAACTGACAGGAACTAAGGATGTGAGATAAGCGTGGGCAGGATACCTACGGCGTCTGCGATTGTGAGTTGGGATATACACACACGTGTGAGGTACACATCAGTTGTATTTCCTTCTTTTCGAAGCCAAAAGGGGTTTTATGTTTAGAAAGTACACACATTTTTGTCCTTCAAACATCTACAAAGCAATCAATTGCATTCAGTGTGGAAATATTTTGCTAAGGAGATATTTGTCCTCGCTACATTTCCACGACACCAGAAGTATCGAACGAAAAGCAAATTGATTCTGTTCTCTGTAAGAACACTTTACCGGCCAAAAGTGTGGATCGTCTCGGCCAACTAGACATGAACTCGGCCAACGTGTTGCCTGCATGTTACCCCTCCCATGCGGCAGCTGCTGCCTGGACGACCGCGTGCAGACAGCGGAAAGTCAGTCGATCTCAGATCACGTTGTGAAACAACACACCTGACGGTGGTAAAAACATGATCTCGCCCACTCAGGGAGGGGGGTGATTGAAGGTCTGCCACTGGAAAACCATATTTTGACATGAAGCCAAGATATGCCAGTGAAGTGCTTTTAAAAAACAAACTGCACATTTGAAGGCGGTCGAAATACCGCTGTTGGGAAAAAAGGCAACCCATCACAGAGATGCTAAGCCTAACAATTACTGATTTTGCGATATTTTTTTCTCTTAGTACATGTACAATGGATACTACGTAATCCCAGTTGAGCTTCTACGTAGGGTATTTTTTTTTCACTCTTACTTCATAAACATACAACTTGAAGTGAAACCCAATTTGAATGAATCCCAGTATGCCATGTGTGATGTTCTAGTTCAAGCGTTATATGAGAGATATGATTTTAAGTATAATGCTTATAATCAGAATTTGACAAATGATTTCCTAGAGCACAAGTGATAATAAACAAATTCCACGAGCTAACTGATTTGACTGTGAAAAAGGTGAAAAAAAGAGGTATAATAGCGAAAGGGTGTCATACCGCAGTCGGAGAAGGGGCGACGTACGATCGCGCCGTGTCATTCTATCTTCGCTCGGGGGAGGCAAAGCAGTTCACCGCGGAGTATAATCAGGCGTCGGCTTGTAATACACGGCCTCTGATTTCAAGACTGGCCTCTGAAATTTTGCAGCTGTGACGAGTGCGGCTTGGAGAAAAAACAATAAGGTCGGGGAATGACCGTTATTTCTCCCCCTCTAGCCAGCGAAGTGTGGCTCCCTCCCTGTATTTGCCGTCTCCATGTCATGCTGAAAAGGGACGAGGAATCAAAATAAGAAAGCATAACCAAACCGTACTCACCAGAGCCGAAAATTAAAAAAAAAGAGATAAATGTTGCACGAAAATCTATTAATCGTCATCGCTATGGTATTTTAAAAGGGAAACAATTTTTGAGCTATTTTTTTAGACTGTAACATTGAACTTTGTGCATCACGCGTTTGTTTGGATCAGCGCTTCGGGAATGAACCCTGATCAACTCTCGTTTTCACAAGCTTGCCGTTTATAGCCAAAATAATTTATTTATGACCGAAATCCGTAATAAAAGGACTGGTAAACCAATGAAAGACAAAGGAATTTCAGAGACTTGGGACCGCAGAGTGTGGGAAAAAGAGAGTTTATTAAATGAAGAGTTGTGGTTTGTTACTGAATCAAACCAAATTGGGTGTTTCTAATCCGCCACCTCAATCAACCCCTAAACCTTCACGAAGAGAATCGACCATAAAGAGCGTTAGTGGAGGCCTGTTTTGTTTTTAGTTTCCTATCTTGGCATTGACCAGAGTATCATTTTGGAAAAAGTTCCTAGTTTAGTTTCACACCAAACACCATTAAATCCCCCACCCCTTTCAAAAGGGACAGCAATTTCCCTGCCCTCTACTAACTAACATTTCCGTTTGTTAAAATTGAGATTCCTGGGGCAAAAAATCCCCGGCCTGGACCGATCCCGTCAAACTTTCATCCGGAACATTCTTGCGAGGTTGCCGTGCACTGCACTGGGGGCGGCCAAAGCCGAGATTTTTCTTTGAGGACCGGGTCGGGTTCCCGCCTCATGCCGTGAGGTGAATCGAGTTCGCACCGCGTTGAATCCCCTCCAGCTATACCTCGCCAGAACTCGACACCACGCACCGTGCGACGTGTCAACTTGTCTTAATACAACTTTGCATATCGATAGGTAACATTCGCGGGGCTTTGGGGAGTCGACTCCCCAGTGTCGATGCCCTCCAGCGATACCAGATTCACAATTCTTGCCAATACGTGCCTTCTCACACTTGGCAAATTGTTGAGTCGATTCCCGGTCGGTGTAATTCCTTTCGAAATATTCTACTTTGCATCTGTATTTTGCATTTCGCAATAACAACCTTGAATCGAAGCTGAAAGAACCAATATGACAATTTCCCTCGAAATGAATCCAGTTATGGGCGTTTGGACAGATTTGCGTCTCCAAAACTAACAACCTGCATTTGCGTTTCAAAGGTGATGTGGAACTTTTTCATGGATATTCTGTGTCTTAAAACTTCCGTGAATATAGTATAGGGGGCCTATTAAAAAAGGATGTCCGTAAGTCTGGAATATTAATACCACCTTGAGTCGCCACACACTTATCTGTGGATTTTGGAACCGCTTTAAGAACACCAGTATTTTATTTTCCAGTTCATGTTCAAGTACATGCAGCCTCGGTCACTCTTCTTTATACTAAGTTTTGCTCAGCTCCATTACGAACTCCACTTTGACCAAGAAATACCGTTTTCTGACAATTCGACAATTACTAGGCCTATAAATTTTAAGCCAAATTATTTGACTAAAGTTGGCCAAACTCTTTAAATTACTACTTACTGAGTCAAGCGATAAAACCAGTTTAGGTCAAAACAGACGTTAAAATAACATTCACGCTAAAAGCTGTAACAAGAGGCATATGAATAGTCCTTTTACTAGCCCAACATCTTTGGCACTGCTTTCAGTGAAAAATGAAATTAAAGATCATCGACGAATAAGAGCACGATGGTTCTGTGCCCCTGAAAGAGGGGTCACTCAAGTAAGAATGGATAGCTCATTCGATGGAGGGCCAGAACGCAGGTTAAATTCCACTCCAGCTTTATTTCATTTTTAATTTATATAAGATTTACAGCTAAAGTAACCATCGTCAGGCAGTAGTGCCTTCCATGCACAATCCTGTCCACATTAACAGATGGGTTACTTTTTTATTCTGCACGAACGGCTTTGCAGTGTTTCAATGTTGCACTAACGCCAGCGGGCAATGCACCTGTCACGGTCGAATGCAAAGCCCATGAAAAGTACATTTTGCAAAAAGACGGGATCCGGCTGCACTTTCTTCCCTGCCTCCAAATAAAATCTTTCTGTCCAAGAAAGAGAGAGAGAGAGAAAGACATGAGAGCTAAAATCGTTCAGGATTATTGAATGCCGATGAAACATTGGTGAAGCTTCCTTTTAAGGCGCACGGGTGGAGATGCGCACGCCCCCTCCGCGCGTGTTGCGGGATGAAAGACGGCGGATATAATGTAAACACAATAGTCATTAGTATCGGGTTATTAATTATAGCGGGCGCGTAGCGGGCGGATTTGTTGGTCGCCTTCCGGCGGGTGAACAGGGTGGCAACGTGCTCCCGCCTCTCTCTGATCCCCGATAAAAGATGTCTGTCAGCGGCGCTGGTCTCGGCACGCGGCCGGTGCCCTACGATGCAATTCGTGGTGTACATATTTTTGAGGAATTTGTTGCAGAAGTTTTGGTTAATGAAGTTGTGACAAGACTTATTAAGCCCCCAAACTTGCAAACATTTGCGTTACTGGAAGACTAACAAACACGCAGTAGGTCTACAATAGTGGATGAAAAGGTGTATAAACGTATAACACGACATACTGCCATCGGAATTTATCACTGGCCCTGGGACGAAATGAAAACAGTTGTGTGAAAAGTTCAAAATTTGTTTCTGACATTTATGAGAAAGTGTTAAATTCGAAATTAAATTAGAAATTTAGATTAGAAGTTAAATTAGAAATCTGTTTATAACAGACACCTCAGGCGTCGGTTGTCACTACATAATGTCCGTGTCCTCCTCGCTATGTGTTAAATAGGAGAAAAAAGTTCTCAGTGGTGCACTGTGATGTGAAAGCATTATAATGAGAATTACACCACGCTGCACCCGAAGAGACGTTGAATGCATTTAAGTCCATCGATTTCTAAAAGTTTGACTGGAACCTTTCACTGCCATGCCCAGAGGCCTAAGTGTAGAATCCCAGACTTTGAGATGATTACAAAAGAAAAACCTCTTGCCCTGATTTAAATCCGTGCCGTGTGTTACAACAGGTTAAGTATTTTCAACCTATATGATGTATCTGCAAAATGCGTCCGACAAAATAATAAACGACAACAGCTAAGAAAAGAATAATTTTGCTAGCGTCTCCCGAAGGGTCATTACACGGGGAGGAAAGTGAGGGGGAAATGAGATCAGACAATTCGGGAGATACCTGCAGAATTTGGCGAGCCGAATGATGACAGCACTTGCCATCACCTCGGAGTCATTAAACTCCGAGCAACATAACGCTTCCATCACTCCGGGCATTAAGAGCCCATCAGACGCCGGTGATGACAGCGAGCGGACCGGGGCCAGACGGCAGTTTTCTCCCGGTGCCGTCTACGGGACGGGAAATGGGACGGGCCGGGGGATTACCCGCGAGCCGCCTAACACTCATCGGGTGTTTCGCCCGGTTATGACGGAGGGTGCTCGACGCACTG